GTATATTAATTATAGGGAAAACTGTCAAATAGGTTCTCGAACTTTCATAAAAAGGTCAATTAAGTCCTTCTATAAGAGATTCTGTCTGGCCGTCGCGATTTGGGGCAGTTTCCGGTGGAATTTTTTGATTTTTTTTTGAGAATCTTATTCACCAAGTCTAGTTTACTCATACCAAATTTCAGCTAAAAATTCAATCGGGAACACATTCAAATTAATTCTTGAAGATAACTGCGCATTTTTGCGTTCTCGAATTAATTTGAATACGCTCCCGATTAAATTTTTAAATGAAATTTGATATGAGTAAACTAGACTTGATGAATAAGATGCTCAAAAAGTTTCATCAAAAAATTTCATCGGGAACCGCCCCAAATCGCGACGTCCGGACAGAGTCTACTATAAAATTAAAGGACTTAATTGATTTATTTATGAAAGTTCGAGGATCTATTTGACAGTTTTCCCTTAATTATATATACTTTGGGTTTTAGTATTTAAGTTATATTAGAAGTGACATTTCAAAGATACAATTTTGGAAAGTTTTGCCATGTGTCATCTTCTAAGCAATCATTTTTTCTATTCTATTTCCAATTTAGTATATTAATTATATATACTTCGGTTATTAGTATTTAGTTATATTAGAAGTGATTCTACGTTAGTTAATTTTGGACTAAATTATATTTTGAATCCAACTCCATATGTAATACCAATAGGGGAAAGAAACAGATGTAACAAAATAAAACCCCATGTTTATTTTAAAGTACTATAATTTTTATATGTATACTTTGATTGTAATAAAAAAATATATCAAATTTCATAATTTTTTATTATCTTTCATATGACACCAATATTGAATATATAAAAATAAAAAAATAATTTAACACTTTAATAAATATTTGTTTTTTAAAGTGTTGTATCTTTTTTATTTGTAGCGTGATTGTTACGAAAAGTATATCAAAATTCATAACTTTTATTATCTTTCATATGATATATTTTTTGCATATCTCACATTTGTTATATGAAATAATCTAAAAAGTAATGTTTTCAAAATAAGTTATAACAAACATTTTATATATGGTTGAAGTTATTTTAGCTACATCAAATGTTTGCATTCATATAACATACAAATTTAGATATTTATGATCGTTTGTTATATGTCTCATGTAATATTTGTGGTATAACAAATTTGATATGTTTGCATAGATCTAATTCTGATTAATAGTGTGCATGATGAATAACGATCATAAAGTGCACAAATTCATATATGCAACATTAATGTCATATGAAAAATAATAAAAAGTTAGAAATTTTTATAAAATGTAACAATAAGAGTATAAGTAAAAAAAGTTATAGCAGTTTAAAAAACAGATATTATTTAAATTGTTATTTTTTATTTTTACTTATTCAATATTTGTGTCATTAAAAGATAATAAATAGCTATTAATTTGATATATTTTTGTGTGAGTCGGAGTATAAATAAAAATATGTTACAACACTTAAAAAAAATGTTTTAAAGTGTTAAATTATTTTTTAAATTTATATATTTAATATTGGTGTCATATGAAAGATAATAAAAATTTATGAATTTTGATATATATTTTGTAACAGCTGGAGTAGAAATAAAAAAGTTATAGCACATTAAATTAAACATGAGATTTTATTTTGGTGAGGCAATCAACTATTACTAATGATATTTTAATACGTAATTATTTTGAATATGAAAATTACATCAAAATGTTCCTTATTCAATTTTTTTCATAAAAGTATAAAACTTATAAATTATATACTTATATAATAACTAAAATCATTGTGCAAAATCATTGACCAATAAAAGTCAATATGATGAACCTTTTTTAAGATAGAGGTAGTATTGTAAATTAACTTTAGGTAAATGCATTCCAAATGTAAAACAATTATAGCAGTTTTTAAAACCTCATTTTTAATACTTTTTTCCAATAATTTTAAAAATACAATTAAGAATTATGGAAATTTTTTGTTGTGTTCGATTAGAATTCAACAAAGTTCTACACAATATTTATGTAAATTTTTCCCAATATCCAAATGGGCTCATAAATTAGGGTTATCTTTGGCACTTCGGAATGCAGGTGGAGGTTAATGTCTGAATTAAAAACTATTGTCTGAACCAGAGACTATTGTGTAGAGCTTAACTTTGAAATGTTGCATCTATATTGTTAGTAACGTTGGATGGGGTAAATCTCTTTGGCCAAGAGTTAAAAAAATTGCTTGAATAATATGACCTGATCAGATCATACAAATAGGGCCAAATCCGATCATAACAGACAAATCAAATAAAAAACCAGTCCAATTAAAAACATTTTTGATAGAGTCCTCCTAAAACTTAGAACTTCATATATATTAGATTAGAATTTAATAAATCTCCTGAAAGTATTCATGAATAAAATTTGAAGTTAATTAGCTTACTATGTGGTTATATATTCATTCTACAAGCAGAAGTGAGATAGGTCTACAAAATTAAATTAACTTATTATGGAGTTAATAATCTATATTTTAAAAGTATTCATGAGTAAATTTTTATTTGTCACCAAATATTGAGATGATGACACATAATTAATTTGGTACTAAAATGCAAGAAAAAAAAAAGACTTTGAAAATTATATAGGAGACCTCAAAACCTAATTCGTTGATAACAATATAATAAAGAAAAAAAATGAATTTTTTAAAAACATTTCAAAATGATGAATATGAATTTTATTCATGTATGAAGTTATGCAATGACGACCACAATATTTTTTGGGACTAAGACTTGAATGTTGTTGTTGTTGTATGAAGTTATGCAATGAATTCATTTAAGTAATCTATATAAGTCAATATTTCAAAATAAAGGTAATATTTTTGCCAAAACTAAAATAAAAATAAAGGTAAGATGTGTTTAATAGCTCCAAACCACCAATTTCTCAATGAGATGGTTCAGCTAGAATAGAATTGCCTAACCTATATAGTATTCATTTTCCTATTTTTAAATTGCATTCATACAACTTTAATAATATCACTATTGATGGAAACTCAAATTTTCACAAATTATCATATGGATCGTATTCCCTCCGTCCCATTGAAAGGTTCCTACTCAAATTCACTCTGTAATTACACCTTCACTCAAATTTATCTTTCCTACTCATTATATGTCAAGTTCAAAAGTCCCCCCCCAAACTTATCTCCCTAATTAAAGTGGAAAGGTAACCAAAATATACTCAATAAAATGGAAGGTTGTAGTGAGTAGAGTGAAATATAAGAATTTGTACTCTCTAATGATGTAGAAGGTGAGACAGTAGGATCACATAATCGTGTGGCTAGGAAGAAATAACCCTTTAAATATTATTTAATTCAATTGATAACTACAAGTACCAAACGGAAATGAAAGTAAAATACAAGAGAATAAAAATCTTTTAAGCACCCCCAAATCATTTCAATAAAATTGTTTAAAAAAATTCTAATAACTTTCGAATCATTCCTAAAATGGAAAAAAGAGAGAAACATCATAAAATGAAAGTGGAAAAAATTTAAATAGCAAGACTACATGTGTAAAAATTTGCTAAATACAAATTTGTCTTAATGCTATCTCAAATTTATGTTCACCTTTCTAATTAATTTTATTTTCAATTGAAATCAATTCTTTTATCTCATTTATGAAAGTAAAAGTTATTTTTTAGTGTACTATCGTATATATTAATATAATCTTGATGTATTTTGTCCAAGACTTTCAACTCTTGGAAAGTTTTAATAATTACATTATATTGTAATATCGTGACACTTAAAGTGATGTTTAAGAGCTAGATAGATAAACTAGACTATGTATAAAAGGTACGAAGTAATTCTTTTACGTACTCATTGGTGTAACTTTAATATAATACTATGTGGTTATGAAAATTGAGATCATTATTCGTTCCTGAATACGGGAGGCATGCATAATTTGACATGTTTATGATTCAATTATAGCTACATTTTGATGTGATAATTTTTTTATAGGTTTTATTCATCATCTGACCTTCTAGGTAAAAATTGTTTATTAAAAGTCTAAAGCATGCAACTTTTCTTTGTTCAATAATACTTATTTTACTTAAAAAGATTATTATATATACATTTAATAACTCAAGCTAATGAAAAAGAAATCGTTTGCTTCCAATCTCAATATGTAGACTATTGTCACCGTCATCGCTTTCATTAAAATCGGAATGTCACAACACTATATATTCTAAACTCTCTTTTCTTAAAGAAAGAGATCAAAAGACTAAATTTGAAAATTTCTAAAACCTAGAAGGGACAATATCATTAAAACGTTGACTACACCCTTTTTAAATTACAAAAATGTGTAGTTAGTTTTGAGAAAAAAAAACACAAGCCACAGATGAAATTTAATGGATAAAATAGGCATCAAGCATTTTGTTTTTGTTTTGGTAAAAATAGATTAATTTCAATTGGATTCAACTCGATGTTATAAAAAGTATGTTTTGTTTTTGGAAAATATAGAATGGAAACATTTTTTATATATAGAATGGAAACATATTTAGGTAATTAGTTTAAAAATAAGACATACTCAATAAATTAGAATATGCATTTTAAACAATGTTATAATCGACTAAATAAGTAATTTTCCGTTATTTAAACTAAACAACAAAATCATTTTATCCCGTGCACGGCACGAATAAAGATACTCCCTCCGTCCCATTTTGGTTGTCCTACTTTCCTTTTTGGGTTGTCCCAAAATGAATGTCTTGTTTCCTTTTTTGGCATGAAATATGTGGTTTTTATTAATCCACTTTATTCTACTCAAATCTCAACCACAACTTTTACTTTTCAACCACTTTATTAATAATCGTGTCAAATTAAAAGTGGACAACCATTATGAGACGGAGGGAGTACTAGTTAACATTAATACAGAAAAAAACTCATAACTCTCTCCTCTAGGACTCCAACCAATTTTAGTTAACATTAATACAGAAAAAAACTCATAAGTCTCTCCTCTAGGACTCCAACCAATTTTTAGAAACAGACTCCAGCGATTTTTTTTGGAAACGAACTCCAAGCCTCCTGCCATTTAAAAGTAATTAAAGCCCACTAATTAAAAGTTCTTTCCATGGTTCCATCGAAGACACCAACGAAGGTGATTCAAACCGGCGGCGATTGACAAGCTCCATCGAAGACCACAACGACGGAGGTGCTCCGAAGCGGCGGCGAAAGAATTACAGGCGAGAAGAAGATTGGTGGCGGCTGCAACCATGGAAAGAACACCAAGTGATTGGCCACACCCTGAGTGGCATGCGCCCTGGAAGAACTACAGGGTCATCAGCGGGCACTTGGGTTCGGTGCGGTCTGTTGCAGTGGACCCCAGCAATGCGTGGTTCTGTACAGGCTCAGCAGATAGAACAATCAAGATCTGGGATTTAGCAACCGGGACTCTAAAGCTCACCCTTACTGGTCATATTGAACAAATAAGAGGCCTTGCAGTTAGCAGCAAACATACCTACATGTTCTCTGCTGGTGATGATAAACAAGTCAAGTGCTGGGACCTAGAACAGAACAAGGTCATTCGGTCTTATCATGGTCACTTAAGCGGTGTTTATTGCTTGGCTCTACACCCCACCCTTGATCTTCTGCTTACTGGGGGTCGTGATTCTGTGTGCAGGGTTTGGGACATCAGGAAAAAGACTCAAGTTCATGCTTTTTCAGGGCATAAGAACACAGTTTGCTCTGTTCTTGCTCGGCCGTTGGACCCTCAAGTGATTACAGGCTCAAATGATTCAACTGTGAAATTCTGGGACCTCAGGAATGGGAAGACCATGTCAACACTCACACACCACAAGAAATCTGTCCGGGCGATGGCATTGCATCCAAAGGAGGATGCTTTTGCGTCTGCCTCTGCTGACAACATAAAGAAGTTTAAACTCCCAGAAGGAAAGTTTCTGCACAACATGCTTTCCCAGCAGAAAGCAATTATCAATGCCATGGCTATCAATGAGGAAGGTGTGTTGGCTACAGGAGGTGATAATGGGAGCTTGTGGTTCAGGGATTGGAGGAGTGGCCACAATTTTCAGCAATCACAGACAATTGCTCAACCTGGGTCACTGGAAAGTGAGGCTGGCATCTATGGAATGGCATATGATGTCACTGGTTCAAGGCTGATTACTTGTGAGGCAGATAAGACCATAAAGATGTGGAAAGAAGACGAAAACGCCACCCCAGGAACACATCCTCTTCACTTTAGGCCCCCTAGAGATATTAGTCGCTTCTGAATGGTGGCTTGTTTTCTGTACCCCTAGAGATTTCATAATCATGCTATCTAAACTGTATGAAGAAGTACATTTCATATTAGTCTATTAGTTGTAAGCATCTCTAATCTCTATACTTACATTATTCTAAAACATCTACATGCTAAAAGCTTAAAATTTCAAAACTTACACAAGTTCCTCAGGAAAAGAGTTCAGGACTTCTATTGATTGGATAATGTCTTCTCATAGTTTCATGTACACATGCTAATGTTTTGTTCTTTCTCTCATCTACACCCATGATTTATTGGCAATATTCCGCTAGTTTTATTTGGTCCTCAATGTGATTGAATTATTAAACTGATATCTCAGAATTTAGACATTTGCAGTTTAACTTATAATTAGTGTATTGAAAATGAGAATGGCAATTTGAAAAAGTTACTCCATATGTGATAGGTAGGTTGCATCCCCTGCCACTTTAGCTATGTCTTTGTTCCATTCGATTTAGGTAATTAGGTGTGCATCATGTAGAGTAAAACATGAGTAAAACATGTAGAGTGTTAAAAAAAATAGGCGAAATTCATGTAAATAATCCATACTTCTTAACATTCTACAAAAATAATCTGTACTTAACAAATTGATAGAAATAATCCAAACCCTTAAACCAGTTCACAAAGATGGAATAAATGAAACGGAAGTATCCGTTCCGTTATAATTTTATACCCCTCGTTACTAGCCTCTATTCACGACACACACCATATCTTCTTCTTCCATATCTATCGGTCTTCTCTAATCAATATATCATCTTCTTCCCTAGATTTTCAGCTCTTCAACTCTCAATCATTCATCAAATTCGTGGAACTATCTGTTATTAAATTTCTGCCCCTGTTTGCTAGTTTCTCTTGTAAACTCTAGATCCAAACAAATCACTTTTCTGGAAAATCATGAACGATCCAAACAATCTGCCCCTGTTTTCTAATATATTCTAAGGATGTGAGTTCAACATCCAGCCCATCATCATCAAAGTACGTACTGAAATAGCGGTGAAGTCATTGCAACAACTTTATTAATGATTAACCAATATGTTTAAATATAACTATAACTAATTTTACAGCTTTTTAGAAATATATTTATACAAATACGAACATCACATAGTGATAACAAATAGAAAATCAAATCACTTTAACCCTAATACTAACCGGATTATTGAAACAACCTTAAAGAACTCTTTCCTCTAAGCTATTTATATTTCAGAGACCCACGTCCTTCTCTGCCTATTTCATCTCCAATTTGTGTGTCTGGCTGTTACAGGATAACCAATGAGTTGCTGATTAAGAGATTAAGATGTAGAGAAGAAGAGTATATATGCCTCTTGTGCCGGAACGGAAGATGAGTTCCAGGTTGTTCAAAGATGTAGAAGAAGAAGAGTATGGCCGGTGAGGGGAGATGAAGAGTTCTCGTTGAGCCGGAAGTGAAGACTAAGAATAATTAGGGATGGAGATGTATCGTTAGGAAACAAGTAAGTTGGGTTGAGACAGTAACGGAATAGTAAACTCCGTTTCATTTAATCCATCTTTGTGAACTAGTTTAAGGGTTTGGATTATTTCTATCAACTTGTTGAGTACGGGTTATTTTTGTAGAATGTGAAGAAGTATGGATTATTTATATGAATTTCGCCAAAAAAATAAGGCTATGTACTACGTATGTTTTGTTATTAAAGTAAAATTAATTTAGTCATACTAGTATTATAAAAGAATAAAACAATAAAAATTTCTCAAAGAGTGCATAAATTTCTGTTTTGGGAAGAAAATAATGACACCCCTTTTACAATGAGGCAACCTTGAATAGTTGAATAGCATATATATTGTCACTATTTTTCATGTCATGATAGAAATATGTAATTTTATTTACGAAACATGTTAAAAAACTATTTTATAAGCATGGATAATTAGTATCATCAATTTGTTGTGTTTCCCATATTGGTCCCCATAAGACCATAGGGTAATAAATTAATGATTTTAAAAGTTTATAGTTGAAATATGCAACATGCATTAATTTGGATTCAAGCACTCATATCTTGCATCTCTATATCTCTATATACATAAAAGCAATACATGTTTTTACTGTTCATGGAACAGTATTCCCGCTCAATCGCTTAAGCATCTGCACCGTAGGATTAAAATCAATCTCTCACTGTTAAATTTCTTTTTCGCCAAATCCATTTGCCATCTTTATCCACACGTACGTCTGGATTTCAGCACCGGAGTTGCTGCCCCACCTTCATCCCAGCCGATCGCTATCTCCATCCAGGTATGTCTCAGGACTTCTTCTCCAACGGTGAATTCATATAGTTCCGGAGTTTATTGCCCCGCCTTCATCCCCATCGATCATCCATATTCAAAATAAATGATGAATAAATAAATCATTACAATAAGACAATGAGAATTGAAGTACATATATGATTATGCAAAAGGTAGCTAAATCTGCCACCCTTACTTCTTTAGTCTCATAATGCTTGAATTTGTAACTTTTGGTCTGATGCTTCTATCCCGGTGTTGACGGTTAAGAATTCTTAAAATCCCTTTGAACCTCCTAATTTATGTAATTGAGTTTTCTTTTGTATTCACATTCTTTTCAAATGCATAGATCAATAGTAGTATGGTACTGTGTTGTTTTCATTCAACAGTATAATATAGTTTCACAATGGAAATTGTTGTTAACTTCATATCCATTTGATGATACTTTCTTACCGGAAATGTTCCGACAGTTGTAGTGTATAAACAATCTCATTGGAGCTGGTGTTCTTTATGATGTAAATGGTATATTTTTTCCTTTTCACTAAATACTATTTCCATCGATTTGTTTTTTTTTTTTATATTTCTACTTTTGTAATAAAGCAACTTAAGTTGAAACTTTAACATGCATGGACTTGAAGCTTTTGATGATCTTTTTGCTAGCATGTCAATTTTGCTAGGGAATTCTCCATGGTTTGTTTTTATGAATAGCTATCACCATAGATGGTACATTCCATCTTTTCAGGTCTTTGTTTTATTTCATTTTTTTTGAAAGTATAATATGTTTATACCATTGGGAGGGTTTAAACAAATGTGGACACTCTTGATGTTGAAGTGGGGGGTGAAGTGGGTGAAGCTTCTTGATGGATTCTCACCCATGCCAGTCCACAAAGCATCTGGTTTGACTGGGGATATCTAGTTAGTTGAGATTGTTATGGGTGGATGACGTGCACTTTGTCGTGAGGTGCACTCAAAATAAATATCAATACGACACCAATACGTAGTATAGCGAAGTAAGGTTCGTATCCACAGGGAAAAGAATATTTCTCTTTTTAATTAACTAGTAACAAAGGGGGGTTTTTAGATTTGATTTGATTTAATTAACACTAAGATGAATGACTTAAATGAGTTTAATTAATGAGAAGGAGACTTGGCTTTGCTTTTATCCACTTAATGAAATGTTCGTCGATCCCAGTTATATCTTTAACTATCTTCCTCTCGAATACTCAATCGAGGAGTATATCCAGTTCATCGAGGGTAGTTATTAATAACGAGAAGCGTTCATTAATAAAACTTACTATCGAGTCAATATAGAACAAGCGCCGTATATTAACTTGATAGTAGCAATAAACTTAAGATGAAAACGATTGAGATTGATAACCTCAACACAAGTGGTTTATTGGTTTAATCAATATAATTAATTCCCCTTAGATTATTAACCATGAGATGCATGCATTAATAATCCAAGTTTACTACCATGAAAGGACCGAATTAATAACAAGCGTATTAATCGACCGATTCTAGTATTAATTAATATATGAAACAAAACTAGTTGCTCCTTTAAGTAATGTTCAAAATATTAATATGAAATATGAATAGGAATTAATTAATACTCAAGAAAGAATATTAAAGAAGATGAATCCTACTATAGTTAATATCAAGATGTTAACTAATTGTCATCTTAGTAACACTCCCCAATATTAACGTAGAGGAAGAAATAATTATTACTATAACTAATGTCAAGATGTTAACTAATTGTCATCTTAGTAACACTCCCCAACATTGATATAGAAATAGTATTTAAAGGAAGAATTAATATTCAAGGAAGAAGATTAAAGAGAATAACTCACAACTTACAAATTCATTAAGCTTCAAAGTAGCAAAACCAAGATGGAAGAGTTTAGCTCCTCATTTGGAGACTAAACATGCTATAAAAATATAAAAGAAATACTATTCTAAACTGAGCTTAAGAGTATGGAAGAAGGGATGATTAAAAGTGAAGGAAAATGGGGTTATTTATAGGTGTTTTCAACACCTAATGCCGGATACCCGACCGGGTATTTTGACATACCCGACCGGGTATTTACCAAATCAAATATTTTCCCATGTTTTTGTGTCTTCTGCACGTTCTTTGGTCTGAAATCACTTCATACCCGACCGGGTATATGGAATACCCGACCGGGTATTTGCTAGTTATGCAGCAGTTTCCTTTGTCACTTCATACCCGGCCGGGTAAAGTCCATACCCGACCGGGTTTTACATAAAACTCAGGTTTTTCCATCCTTCTTGCTTCCAAATCTATCCTAAACTTATAGCTCAACTAACTATAACTTACAACAAACAATAAAATGCTAAAAATACGATTACAATCAAATGTAAACTAACGACTACAAACTTGCATAATACTAGTAAATAAATATTACAAACGATAATAAAAATGTACACTTTAGGCACTAACAACTAGTGCCTATCAAACACCCCCACACTTGAACTTTTACTCGTCTCGAGTAAAACAAATCCTGTCCATGAAGTTTCCGAACCAACAATAGTAGCAATCACAACCATTCACAAATGTTTTTTGAAAATCAACATAAAAATGTTTCAATGATCAAAAACACATAAAAAGGTCTTCAACACCATTAGATTTCTCTTATTTTGCTTCCTCATGTATATGCCCTTAGGATCCTGCAAAGATAAAAGAAAATACTTTCTCTCATTCTCTCATTTTGCCTAGGTGCCCTTTCGGGTTTTCATCCCAGCTTCCCACATTTCCCTTTTTTATTCTCACCAACTCACTCTTCTTTTTGCTTTTGTTTTGCTTAAGTTGCCCTTTTGGGTTTTCAACCTAACAAGCTTTGTTTTGTGTTTTTTTTTAAAGCAAGAATAAAGAGTATGAAATGGGAGTGTACCAGAATAGTTCTCCCCCCCAGCTAGTTCATGGCACTGTCCCTAGTGCCCGCCAGCATCTCCTAATCCTTGTTTGATGATCATTTGGCTTCCCAAAGATATTATACCCAA